CAACCTCACCAAAACAGTCATATTTGGGAATAGGTCACATTCGGTACTTAAAAGACGAGACGACGTAATGGTAAACCACAATCTAAGATGTGGTAAAAATGTCCTTAGTTAGTTTAGACACAGACACATCGTATGTATCAACCAATCAAAAACTATAAAAAAATAACAATTTATACGTTTGCTAAAATGGCTATTTGAATTATGTTTAATACAATTATTAAAGAAAAGTACAGATTAGTAAATTTTTATTGGAACTACATAGGTAAAACTAGAGGATTCCTAATATCTGCAAAAAGTCAAAAGCAAGGGTAGGGTACATCTTTAAGATATGGAAGAATTTTTTAGAATGTCATAGATTTTAACGAACGTAATCAATGCATCACTGGTAAATTATTAAGTCAGGGATTTTGTTACCATAACTTACTTAAAATTTTTACTAAATTATTTCATAGATACAAAGATTTGATTAGTAAATTTGGCTGTACCTGTAGAAAACTTATTAAAAATGGTATTTCACATCCTAAATTTTATGGTAATATTGTACTTAAAGCGCGGAAATCATTATGTGATCCGTGTAAACTCATCGTACCAATGTTGTAATTAGATCTCTTAATATAGTTTACATTGGCACTAATATCAATTTTGTCATTAGCAAATTAAAACATAACTTTATTTGTATTTTCTTTTCAAACGGGGTGTGTAGAGACACACACACGTTCATTTTTATCTATAAAGAAGTCACTCCTAACTTTCCTACTACCTGTCGATACATTTATTTTTGGCATTGCACAAGTCATGTTTTCTTTGACTGTTCATGATGTTAAAATACTAAATCCCTGGGATGTATTTTAGTTGATTTTAGTCTCTGATGCATGATTTTTTATTATTAATTGTTTTGGCTTTTAACTAGCTGTCAGTAACTGCCAGTACTCTCAAATCGTACTTTCTTTTTAATTTGACCTGTTGATACTATTTGTAATGCTTTTTTGTTATTTAATGTTAACATGGATCTTTTCTATATACCAGCTTTGATTATTTGGTATTAATACAAATTTTCACTTCTTCGTTCTATGAACATCAAAATTATTTCATTTTTCCTGTTCTTGGACCTGTACATGAAGTTTTATCTAGCACTAATTGTATAGTTTTATTGTTGTTATTCACCCCATATGTACCAAGTGTCAGATTAGTTTTATTGATATTAAAGAAAATTCTTGGTATTCCTAAACGGAAGATTTTATACATACAGAAGAAGAAGTATACTTAACAACAAAAATTATTTTCATTTACCTGTGTATAATATGACGCATGTTTCTTCAAAAGTGATGATTTTCTAAAAATTGTTTGACATTTCACAGTGATATCATACTTTAACTATGTTTAAACCTGTTTATTTACTTTTGACTTTAATTATTTATCCCTTGTTATTTTTTATTAACTGTGTATTTGCATTCAGGTGTCACAGGTCAAATTTATCCGTTCATTGTTTGTTAATTTATGTTTTTTGATTGAGTTAAGCCTTCCAATTGATATTTTATAGTGTGTTTTTCTATGTTGTGATGTTATACTATTGTTTCAGAAATGGGAGAAGGTTTGGTACCATTTAAACGTTTAATCCCGCTGCAAATGTTTGCACCTGTCCTAAGTCAGGAATCTGATAACAGTAGTTGTCGTCTGTTTATGTAGTTCATACATGTTTCTCATTTCTCGTTTTTATATAGATTGGACCGTTGGTTTTTCCATTTGAATGGTTTTACACTAGTAATTTTTTGGGGCCCTTTATAGCTTGCTGTTAGGTGTGAGCCAATGCTCCGTGTTGAAGGCTGTACCTTGACCTATAATGGTTTACTTTTATAAATTGTAACTTGGATGGAGAGTTGTCTCATTGGCACTCATACCACATCTTCCTATATCTATTGACGTCACCGAATGCAACTTGTCACCCAAATTTTTACTTGCCAACAGCAACATGAACTGTGCCACTATTTTTGATAGGTTGATTGTTGCTTCAAGGAGACGTGACACAATTTTTTTTTTTTTTTTTTTTTTTAATTAATTTATTAATATTGGTCAAAAAACATATTTTAATAAATTTTTCTTGTCAAAACCTCATTAAACGGCCTTTTTATGGTCAAATAATCCAGCGCTTGTCGTAATCTTTGATTTTTAATTAGATACCGGTCACGTGATCGTGATGACGTCAGTGGATACAAGCTGAGAAAATGTCTCAATATGGACGAAGTTGATCACATTTCTGCATAATTAAACAATGGACAGTGTTGACAGCAGTTTTCAAGACAACTCTCAAACTTTAGATATTCGACCGTATCAGTTTGAGCCGTTACTTGTTGAAAATAATCGAAGTAGAAGATATAAATTCGTCATCCGAAGAGTCCGACATTGACGATCTTTCAAGCAATATGCAAGCTGTAGGATCTGCAAAGAATAAATGTCTGTTGTTAATTTAGTTTTACAGAACTTTAATTACTGTGATAATTAATTAAGACATAAAAATACAAGTGAACGTCTTGGGTCACACAATGGTCAATTGCATTTCTGAATAATTATGTGGTCTTAAATTACAATTATAATGAAATCAAAAACATAGAGAAATATACCTAACTTCTTAACTCCATTTTATTTGAGCTTTCATGGATAGTTGTCTGATTAGCATTCAAATTTACCACTAATAAATTGGTTCTTAGATATTAATTTAATAATTTAAATTAGTTAGTTTGCTAAATGTAGCGTTCAAGTTCAAAAGTTTATTATAGTTTATTATAGTCACACCACATACATACACGTATAAACACAATATGAAATATAATGCACATTTTAAAATTTAGAATGCATATATAGAGATCTGTGTAGAAATATATCAGTACTATAACAATTATTTCACTATAAATCAAGATATATTTCTTAAAAATGTTTGAGTTTAACAGGTAATTGAATTACATTATATAAGACAAAAAGAGAGGTAATAAATTACCTATCACCTAACCAAGTATGTTGGGTGTGAAATTTGAATTACTGAAGCAGTCCCCAATACATGTGTAATAAGTATGACATAACAGGGGAAGTATTAAAAGTAAAGTTTTGAAACAGTAAAATATATTCATGTATTTGTCTCCTCCATAATCATCCCATTTAAAATGTTCTAGGAGTACTGATTTTTTGTTGTTGTGATATTTGTTATAATGTGTATATCTTCATGCAGTCTATACTTATACATTATCTACTAATCCCAGGTCTGTATCAATTGGATTTATTTCCATTATTTAAGTTAAAACTATATTATTCAGCTTCATGTCTTATGGAATATAAAGGCTTGCATACATACACTAGCCAAAATATTTGTTTTTTCATTCAAGTCACCTTTTGCATATTTCACCTCAATAACCTTGCATCAATGGTCTATCATTTTGATAGTATGACTTGGCATCTCTTCACAATTTTTTTTATAAAGAAATGAAATGATTTTCCATAAATAAACAAAATAATAAGGGTAAATAATAAAAACTTAATTGCAATACACCTTTTATACATGCCTATTTTTTTTTTAGAATCTATGTACCTACTGCAGGTTATGTTTTAGTTAGGGAGACTGACAGGCATTTACATTTTTAATTTTCCAGCTTTTTTTTTAATTCTTTTCTTACTTTAAAAACATTTCTTTTTTATTGTCTATTCATTTTGCTTATTATACTCCATTCTTTACAAAGTAAATCCAGCAACCCATTATTTCCTATCCCCCCTTTTTAAGCTGCACTATCAGTCCTTTTTTCTCTATTCTGTAAAACCCCATAACCGACAGTCGGGTATTGTTTATTCCAACAGGTAAACCAGATATGCATTATGTAACTTATGTCTGTAACATTTGCTCTAGTCTATTTTCCAACCACACCTGTGCACCCAGCAGGTGATCAAGGATCATGTACACAGATTCGATGCATATTACGCAATATTGCGTATTGCCTATGTCTTATCTATCATCACCTGGGGGCATGACACCTGTAGCTTTCAACTTCAAAAGGTAACCCAGCATTGCGGATAAAGTGTGCCGCATACCTGTAACTTCTGATCGATGTTTATGGATGTATGTCCAATTACAGTGTACACACCTGCACACGTGAACAGGTAGTGAGGTACACTAAGGAGGTACACGATACCAAATTCTAAACACTGAGATATATTGGGCTATACACAAATATGACGAAACTATAAAAAATAATATTAAAAAGGGACGTAAAAAAATATTTGCGAAGATAAAATAAAAAATATTTACGTCAGCCTTTCTCCGCTTCTCATAAGCTCCCCGCTTAGGTATAGGTGGCCTTGGCACAGCTGTTGTTGGTTGTGTCAATGGAATGTCAGGTACCGCATTTGGACGATGTTTTGGCTTCATGGTAGGACAGCCCTCGAGATTCTTCATAACTTTTGGGTCACGATCGTAACATGCATTTGTAAAATGGGCGGAACAAAGTCTATGACCAGTGCTTGGTAGGAAGTTCCATCTCTTACAATAGTGTGTCCACGCCTTCCTGGTTTGCGGGTTACTCGGAAAACAGAAAAAACTAATTAAACTGTCCTTCTTATGCCTATTGTTGCATCCACTGGCAGCACACAGAACCATTTTTAATCACTGTCATGGGTTTTGTTGGAAGATATTCGAAAATGAAATTGCGCTTATTATGCCTATACACCCGTCAGTCAAATATGATTGATGAAACCACTGACGTCACAGCCTCGTTCTGAGTGACTTCTGGGATTGAAATATGCATAATTAGTATGTCAACAGATCGATACATTTAAATTCATATTTTATCCATTTAAACGATAATTATATTGCTTTCGATGTTTTTTGGGGGGTAATTATGTATAAATAAATATTAATTTCAAAAAAAAAAAAAAAAAAAATATCATGTCACATCTCCTTTCATCTTTTTTTTTCTGTGGTGTTTAGGAGATTTATGTCATAAACTGTTCATATTTTTCAGGTGGTCAGAGAATGCCATTACTAGGTCCAGCGCCTGGAATGGGTGGCCAAGGAGGACCAAATATGAACAGGCCTTTTGATATGGACCAAGATTTTAGAGCTCCAAATCAAAATCAAGGCAATAATAGAGGAGGTGGTGGATTTAACGATACTGACTTTAGAAATCAAGATTCAGATTTTCGTCAAGATTCTGATTTCCGTGGCGACAGTGACTTGCGACAAAGAAATCGAGAAGATAGGGACAATAGATTTCAGGACAGGAATCAAAATTTTGATCAAGACAGGAAGCAGCATTTTGATCAGGACAGGGATAATAGATTTAACATGAATAAAGGTCAGAATAGACAAGAAGAGATGATGGACTTTGATGACCGTGATTCTAGGCCCAGAAACTTGGATGGTTCATTCCGAGACCAAAGAGACAATTTTGGTGATGGAAATCAAAGAGAGAACTTTGGTGATCGAAATCAAAGAGAAAATTTCAATGATAGAAATCAACGTGAAAATTTCGATGACCGCAATCAACGAGATAACTTTGGTGATAATAGAAATCAAAGAGATAATTTTGGAGACAATAGAAACAGAGACAATTTTGGTGGTGGCAACAGGGACTGGAATGATCGAGGTGGACATAGGGGTGGTAGGGGAGGTAGGGGTGGTGGAAGAGGAGGCAGGGGAGGATGGCGAGGAGGACGATAACCATGTATTGTTATCATGTCTCAAGACTTACTACTCAGTGCTGAATAAGAGTTTGAAAGTGTTTATGATATCTTTATTGCTTTAAATGAGTTGCATATGACTAAAATCTTCATTCAGAGATCACCAGAGGTAAAACTTAAAGGGTCAAAGGTCGCCCTCATGAAATGAGTGTTTTTGGCTGAACAATTCTTCAAATGTTGGAACCTCTTGCAACAATATCAACAGAATTATTTTTATGAAAAAACGAAAAAAGAAAAATATAAAGAAAGTAAATCAAAATTAGCCCAATTAAGCTCCATTCTAAGAATAGCTTTTGGTGATCCCTGGCTTTATTTATAAAGCAAAGAAACTATTGTATGAGCCATGACAGTCCTCTTTAAACATTCTTAATTATGTGTTTGTTCTTTTAAAACTTGCCTTTTCTAAAGAGGAAGGTGTGAGGTATTGGCACTACTTGGTGACTATAGTCTGTTATAGCTTATGCAATATTAAAAAATAATCTATGAGACAAATGCCCCATTAAGGATAAAAATTTGCCGGCTTAAGGTATTATTTCTTGTTAAAGTGGCGACGAACAAAGATGGTTGCTGTTAATGTAAAAAGAAAATATGCTAAGGTAAAATCTGGCAAAAAAAATCCCAGAAAACCTTTAAGGAAATAATTGAATTTAAATATTTAGGAAATAATGCTGTTGAGATAGCCTTTAATGAATTTAGTAAGGTTTTAATTACCAAACCTACCACTAGATAGCCACAATTACTAAATATATTTAATAGATCTAAAAAAGGTCAAACAAATGACTTTAATAATGCTGTTAGTTGCTTCTGTGGCAAGCACAGATCAGTAAGTGGCAAAAGGAATGGAACCAGAATACAACACCTCTTCAGCCCATTATCTTTTATCTGATCCAGAATGATCAAATTTCAATTCAGTTTTGAAGTTCTGGTACAAAAGAAAGGTCATATTCTTCGATACTTCTTTAACATGTTTCGTTGTTCACAGATTATCATTTTGACATTAAGCATTTATTCATTTATTCATCATCAATTCATTCATCCATCTATTCATTCCATTGAACACCAGACATAATTGTATAAATGGAGTTTTGAGTATCTGTGAGTGAGTATAAAAAACAAAGCACATTAAAATGATTGGATGTTCAACGTTTTCAAGACTGTTAACTAGAAAAATCTTATTGATATCTTCAATTCAACTAAATGAAATCGTCAGTGTAAATCTTTTATTTTGAAAAAATTATGTCAATCAATCCTTAACTGCAATTAATCAACAAGTGTAAAAAAAGACTTATTTTTGAAAATTTTATAGTTCAAGATACTGAAAGTGCATACACATGAGCAAAAAATATGTACACACTATCTTTCCTATATCTTGCTTTTTTTGGCCATTTCAATAAGAACAAATTCAACACCTTATATAGATTGTTGAGGAAACCATATGATTGTAAAACTTTAACAAATATTTGTACAAAAAATTACTAAATGTACCGTTATATAAATGTACTATATGTCAAATTTTTAAATTACTGGTGATGTTGAAGAAAAATTTCAATCATCAAAAACATGTACAATGAAAGGCATTGGTATGCATTAAAATTTTATACTATTTATATTAAGCAGTCTGGTTATTTGTGAAAAATAGACAATTTCATGACAGTTTCATGCTAAATGTCTGTAATTTGTAAATAAAATTGTCATGCTTGGATGTAGTTTATTGTCTTGTCTGAGACTTCAATTGTAATTTACATAGCTGAGCATACTATACATACTGAATGAGAGACTTGGATTGTTAGTCTGGTGTTGTAGTCTATGACAAGGATGTCATTACCTGGTGCAGAAACCAGAAGAGCTGAATAATCAATATCTGATATGAAGATTCCTTGTTGTCTAAATGTTCCCTCTGACACAAGTCCAGTGTCATTGACCTAATCTTTATTGTTTCAGTGCTTAATTCAAAAATAATAATTATCACATGATTTTTTCAGTCTAAAGTAATATGACAACTGCTTTTGGTATATAGAATCAATGAAGGATATACACATCTGCCAGACAGCGTTCCTTTTGTGTAGTAATTTTTAGTTCATCTGAATCGAAAGGCCATTATGAGCTACAGCAAATTACTTGCCATTCATTATCAATCCCCTTGAGAAAAAAAAAATATGTATATATATAATTCTTTGAAAAAGAGTAAATTAACAAAAATACCGAACTCTAAGGAAAATTCAAAACGCAAAGTCCTTTACCAAATAGCAAAATCAAAAGCCCAAACACATCAAACGAATGTAATTATACTGTCATATTCCTAACTTGGTACATGCATTTTCTCATATAGAAAATGATGGATTAAACCTGGTTTTATAGCTAGCTAAACCTCTCACTTGTATGACAGTTGCATATAATTCCATTATATTGACAAAAATGTGTGAGCAAAACAAACCGACATAATAGGCAAAATGGTAAAAAATTGGGTACAGCAGTCAACATTGTGTTCTAATGTTAATCACTATAAAAACAAATAACTATTATAACAAAGAAAACAGAATGGCATATTGACACACTATTGACAAAGTACATTAGCAAAAATTAAAGACGAGAATAAAGAAATGACAATAGCAGAAGTAACACGATCGCAAATTGTATAAATACCGAGTGAAATAGATCAACCGAAACAAATAAGCAAAAATCATCATTTGGGTATCTGGTTTCAACAGTTTATGCAATAAGTCGCAAACCAACCAGCATGCTTATTGTAGTAAAGATTTAATGTGGTGCAGTAAAATTGGTACCGTTAATGTTATCTAAATGGACATTAAACGGATAAAACGATTTCCCTAAAATTATTTACCGTATTGCCTTGTGAAGATAGGGAGATACAAGATAACATGTGCATTTTGTTCAAGTTTACATACTTTTGCCTTTTAATTGATCAAATTCGCTGTGAATGACTGTATTAAGCCCTTGATACGATAGTCTAAGGGTATTATGTTTTCCGGGTTGTGCATCGCTCCAATTCAGGTTGAAGTTTCGATTCAATGTAGCTTCCCTATAATTTGTGGTCTCGTCAATTTTCAGCTTGGTACACATGTCCATATCAATGCACACTGAATAAAAATGTATGCCAAATTATGTTTTTTACCCTGACTTCGTGGTTCACTGAATTTGGAAATTTGATAGTACAATCGAGATATGATGTATAGACACATTCTTGTCACCTTTGTCTTCCACCATCTTCTGATGTTTAATCTGGTAAATGGTGTGTATAGTTAGTTAGAAATAACAAATGGATTATGCAGTTAGTTCTTGTTTGATCCATTTTTCACCTAACTAGGCTTGTTTAATTTCCAAAATTCAATGAAGTTCAAGATAGATTAATTCCCAAGCCTGAATGCAAACAGGCTCAGTAATTCAAGATACAAATGCGGATAAAACTGAAACCAAATAGTGGGGACATCATGCTTGTCTATTATCTTGAAAACTTTATTAATAAAGACAACATTGTATAAAATAAAATACTATCAGCAATAAACGATCTGAAAAAAGTGAGTTTCATCACGCGGCTCCCCCAGAGAAGTTATTGCCATTGGAAGACGATTTGTAACAGTCTATACGAAAAAAAAAAGGTGTGGTATGATTGCCAATGATACAACTATCCACCAGATACCAAAATGAGGTGGATTTTAGCAAAGTTGTCTGTATTGTTTTGAAAAGTCTAAATGATAAAACATAAACAGTAAAAGCAAACAATGCTGATATGATTGTAACCATCATTCGGCTCCCTGATACAAGATATTATCTGACATTTTTTGACGAGTTTTTATACGACCGCAAAAAAATTTTTGTGGTCGTATATTGGTATGACGTTGGCGTCGTCGTCGTTGTCGTCGTCGTCCGGCGTCGTCCTGCGTCGTCCGAAGACACATTGGTTTTCGCACTATAACTAGTTTAAGTGAATGGATCTCTATGAAATTTTACGACAAGGTTCCATTCCACAAAAGGAAGGTTGGGATTGATTTTGGGGGTTATGGTACCAACAGTAAAGGAATTAGGGGCCAAAAAGGGGCCAAAAATAAGCATTTTTGTAACTTCCAGACATAACTTGTGTGTTAGTGTATGGATCTCTCTGACATTGTACCACAAGGGTCCATATCACAAAAGGAATGCTGGGATTGATTTTGGGGGTAATTGCCTCAAAATTTTAGGAATTAGGGGCCAAAAAAGGGGCAAAAAACAAGCATTTTTCTAGTTTCATGACAATAACTTTTGTGTAAGTGTATGGATCTTTCTGAAATTGTACTACAAGGTTCCATATCACAAAGGGAAAGCTGGAATTGAGTTTGGGGGCAATTGCCGAAACGTTTAGGAATTGGGGGCCGAAAAGGGGCCAAAAATAAGCATTTTTTTTAGTTTCCAGACAATTCCTTGTGTTCAAATGTATGGATCTCTCTGAAATTGTACTGCAAGGTACCATACCACAAAGGGAAGGCTGGGATTGAGTTTGGGGGTGATGAATCATAAGTGGGTTCAAAAAATTTGGGGGGGGGGATTTTTTTTTTTTCCTTTTTTTACTTTTTTTCCTTTTTTTTTCTTTTAAAATTTTCCATTTTAAGTTGGTTATTTCTGATTTATATTTAAAAGCAAATAATAATGATATGGTAGGAGATACACACCAAACAGGATGTGTAAATTATTATATAATAAGTATTGTGCAGTAGCAAGAAATTTTCAATTGCACAGTATTGCACAATAGCAAGAAATCTTCAATTGCACAGTATTGCGCAATAGCAAGAAATCTTCAATTGCACAGTATTGCGCAATAGCAAGAAATATCCAATAGCACAATATTGCGCAATAGCAAGAAATTGTCAATTGTACAGTATTGCGCAATAGCAAGAAATATTTAATTGCACAGTATTGTGCAAAAGAAGATACTTCATATAAATTGCTTATTTCTTGACCAATTTCAATGGGGTTTTATTCTTGAATTCTTGGGGTTCTTGAATATGCTGAATCTAACCGTGTATTTAGTTTTTGGATTTTGGGCCCCGTTTTTAAATTGGTCCACATTGAGGTCCAAAGGGTCCAAAATTAAACTTTGTTTGATTTCATCAAAAATTGAATTATTGGGGTTCTTTGATATGCCGAATCTAACCGTGTATTTAGATTCTTAATTTTTGGTTCCGTTTTCAAATTGGTCTACATTAAGGTCCAAAGGGTCCAAAATTAAACTTAGTTTGATTTTAACAAAAAATGAATTCTTAGGGTTCTTTGATATGCTGAATCTAAACATGTATTTAGATTTTTGATTATGGGCCCAGTTTTCAAGTTGGTCCAAATCGGGGTCCAAAATTAAACTTTGTTTGATTTCAACAAAAATTGAATATATGGGGTTCTTTGATATGCTGAATCGAACCATGTATTTAGATTTTTGATATTTGGGCCCCGTTATCAACTTTGTCCACATTGAGGTCAAAAGGGTCCAAAATTTAACTTTGTTTGATTTCATCAAAAATTGAATTCTTGGGGTTCTTTGATATGCTGAATCTAACCATGTATTTAGATTTTGGATATTGGACCATAATAGGTGAATGTCCAATTTAAAATTTTTAAGTTCTTAGACCACATTCATTCTGTGTCAGAAACCTATGCTGTGTCAAATATTTAATCACAATCCAAATGCAAAGCTGTATCAAGCTTGAATGTTGTGTCCATACTTGCCCCAACTGTTCAGGGTTCGACCTCTGCGGTCGTATCAAGCTGCCCCCTGCGGAGCATTTTATTTTCTTTTTGATTATTATCTAAAAAAACTAGAATAGACTAAGTAAAATCTATACACTGAATATGATCAGCAATTATAAGACCTGTAAAATGCCACTAGGAGTGAAAACATCATTGTTATTGCATTTAACGATTAATAATGACAAATTCTTGCATCCTATTATTTTCTGTATATTCTAAATAAATAATACAGAAAACTTATCAAAAAATATGACCAATTCAAGATCCTCACAATACCAGATGAATTGCACCATAAATTTGTCCCTTATGGTAAAATAAAAATAATCAGCAAATTCAAGATCTTCAAAACAACCAATGTGAAGGGAAGCCATAATTCGAATTATGCTAGGAGTTCTTGACCTTCAATGTCTTTTTTTAGCATTACAATATCTATAAAAATGCTGATATGACTTAAACCATCATTCGGCTCTTCATAAGACTTTGTGCCCTGAATCGACGATTATTGATGAGTTTTAGCATTGTCTATTATCTTAAAAACTAATTAATAGACAGACACGTTAAACATTAAAAATGACCAACAGTACAAGATCTGCAAACATTCCTTATCATTGAAACCATAAATTGACTACTGGTGGTCTATTATCCCACGATGGTATCACCCGGTCAGTAGCTCAGTACTAAAGTACGGGTATACATTAATTGATATTGTTTTATTGAAATTAACTGCTTCGATATTATTTAAAATTAAGGGATGTTTAACCCTGGTACCAAGCCTAGGTATGATTTCTAGTCTCGAGATAGCTAATCTTTGTCTAATAGATTGAGACACCATCAAATGTGACTAATTTGTACTTACCATTACCAACACCAGGGGAGCCATTTGTGGAGCAGGATATGCTAACCATTACCGTACCACCTGAAATCGTCCCCAGTATTTGGTTGGGTTTGTGCTCATCTGTCTTTTCTTTT